TAAACTAGGAAGTTTCTCTAGTAAAAGACCGCTCAGACAGTGCTGGGTAAATTTGTTTCAAATCAATTCAACTAAACGCCTATTTGTCTAGAATTCCCATTTTGAAGAACAAGCAGGATTGCACTGCTAACATTTCATTTACAGCAGAACAGTTGCTGGGCCTTAAGCATTTTCATATCTTAGGCATCTTTTGGTCTTCAGATTGCTTTTCAGCATTTTCAGAGGTTTTTGTTTGTTTCTTTTTTTTTTTTTAGTCCATTTAACTAATGGCAGTTCTGCATGACTTGGCTAAAATAGCCCTCAAAATTCTAAAAAATGAAGCAAATGGGAAAAAAAAAATAGGCACTCAAAAATGAACAGGAAAAAGCTTAAGAGAGCCTGAACCGAGCCTGTGAGGTAGTAAGCGTACATTTTATGAACACAGTAATCAAATGTGCGATATTAGGCAAATTGAGTGCGAGAGAACTCCCTTCAGAGAACCGGCTTTTCCCAGGCACCGAGGGCACTGGGGGAAACTGCCCTCCGTGAGGTGGGGGCTCCCTGAGGGCCTTTGCCGGGGGCTCCAGAAAGGCCAGGCTCCAGCGGGAAGAGGGACGCTTCCGCCTTGGTCCTCAGCCTGCCCTGGGCTCCGGGGAGCAGGCCAGCGCTGGGAGAGAACCCCCTTCCCTCCATATCCCACTTCTGCGGGCCAGCACTATAATTTGCAGGTGCCAGCTGCTTCCAGTTCTATTTCTGCAGAACAGCGGAAGCAGGCAGTGCAGGACGTAGAGCCCACCACCCTCTCATTTCTCTCGTTGTGAGTGGAAAGGAGCAGGGGATACCATTTTTTTCTCCATTTCCTTTTAAACTTGGGAGACTCTTCCCAGGAAAAGTACCCCGCAGAAGCAAAGGCACCGGCATTCGTATTCACCCAGGTGATTGAATGGTTTGGGGCACATCTCATATTCAAGGCCCTGCACATATTCACACACTCACACGCCTGCGCTAAACATAAAAGATTTGTCCATTAAAGCAGTGGGACAGTGGATTAATTACACTCCAGAAACTCAGTGTGAACTGTCCGACCGGCTGGCACGTCAGAGGCGAGTGGGCTGTGCTCACCTCCCGGAGAACGGGAGTGGGAGGCTGCAGGCCATCTCCTCACCTTTGTCCCTTCTGATGTTTTTTGTTTTGTTTTCAGTCATTTGACTCCTCTCCTTGGGCTTCCCATCAACCTCAGAATAGCCAGGAGCCAGGCTTTCGAGCCAGGATTCAGGTGTCCTTGAATCCCTAAAGCTGTGCAAAACTGGGTGTGCATGAGCATATGTCTGGGCCCAGTTTTTTAAAAATTACACTCTCACCAAATATTTAGCCCAGGGATGTAGAACCACACGAAAGTGGAGGCGGGCTACATGCACGTGCCTATGAAAAGCAGTGGGCGGAAGGGTCGAGCTGCCCATATGGTCTTTCTACTTCCTGAGCTGGCCTGTCCCTGTATTTCCTGGGAGGGTCCCTCCCTGTTATTTTCCTCCCACAATCCCAGGCTTCTGCTGGCTTCGGGCCACCACCCAGCTATGGAGTTCAGCCCACAGAGCTGTCTGGGCTTGGAGGCCCAACCTGGCAGCGAGTGAGCCAGACAGAGGCCGCACCAGGCACACGCGCTCCAGCGAGGAAGCCGCAGAGCCGACCTCGTGGCGTGGCTGTGGCTGTGCACTGGGGCGGGGGCTGTGCGCTGGGGCGGGGGCTGCCTCTTCCCCCCATCCCTTCTTTCTGGTAGTCAGGAGAGTGGCCTTCTCCAACTGCCCACTTCCCCTCATCAGCACGTCACCAGCCACCCAGGCGGAGAGTGGAGGAAGCTCTCCCACTTGAGAGGGCGGTCTCAGTCCCATGGGAGTGGCGGGTGCGGCTGTGGTCTCCGGACTCCACTGTTCCAAGCGATCGTGTCACTTTTGTGAAAGAGAATTCATTTCTGGATGTGCCTTTTCCTGGATTCTATTGGTTTCCTTGGAAGAGCTGACCCCTGAAAGCCTTTCTGACTTCAGCTCACAGCCTTCTCCATGAGGAGCCTGTGCCGTCTGAAGGAACCCCCTCGGTCATTCCCCCCTCAGCACTGGGTGCTCTCGGTACACGAATCTGTGGCGGGAGCTTCCGTGTGTAATGCCCGTCACTCGCTATTAGCGGGTGAGTTCCTGGGGAGCAGGAACATGTCTGGCCTGGTCACCGTTCCATCTTCACCACAAAGACCAGAGGCTGGCACAGAATGTGACTACTCAGCTGGTCCAATGTAACAGGTGTGACGGTGCGTCCTGGACTTGGGAGACACCCCATAGAGCAGACCTGGGTGAGTAGCACTGACACAGAAGACAGGGGTTTTAGCTGTCCAGCTCTGTGTGAACACACACGCTGGTGTACCTCCAGAAAAGTCGCTTTTATCTACGCTGCAGTAATACAGCAAAGTTTCTAGTGTTCAACACCTGACATCCAACGAACAATCATGACACTCAGCGCCAGACCCTCTTTGAGGAGCTGGGAATAAAACCATGAGAAGTGCAGAGTCCTAAGGCTGGAGGGGAGCATGTGGGAGAAGGGAGGTCAGAAAAGAAGGCCCGAAGGGGGGCCTTGCAGGCCATGGCGGGGAGAGGGGCAGGGGCCACCTGCCTCTGCACTGATCAGGCCGCCCCAGGACAGGGCTCTCAGGTCCGGCTGAGTGTGAGGGAGACACTGGGGCCAGGAGAGCCACACACAGTAAGGGTGCTCTGACCCTCATCACGGGCTGGGCAGGGGGCCTGCAGAAACCGAGGATGCTCGGTTTGGACATGAGCAGGCGGGGGAGGACCTGGAAGAGGGATGCGCCTGACTTGCCTGTGGATTCTGGGCAGCCCGAGAGCTAGACCCTGCACTGGCGAGTGAGAGCTCTGGGGAGGCCGATTTGGATGTGTCTAGAGGAAGCAGAACAGTCATAACAAGGAAGCCCGTGAGATGCAAGGAGGCCGCCTGCCGTGGGAGGGACAGAGCCTCGTCACTGGGATGTTCCTGCGGATTGAGGAGGCCAGACGTTAAAGACAGAGGGTATTAGACACGCATACTGTCACTGTACTTCGCCGGCCGAGTCCGAGTCACCTTCTTGGCGGCCAGGCGTGTCTTTGAGAGCCTGTGGGTGCACAGACTCGGTGTGGCTCACAGGCACTCCCAGGCTGGGAGTCCAGGCAGAGGCCGGCTCCATGTGTGCGAGCCTGTGTGCAGCTGGGCCGCAAGGCCTGGCTCTGCCCGCCCAGCAGCAGGGAGCTGCTCACGCCCTGGTCGGGCAGAGTCAGCGGCGGGGCCAGCGCAGTTGTGAGTCCATCCAGCGCCGAGAAAGGGAGAGCTGCCTCCACAGGTGGCACCCAGCAAGCATCCAGGGAACCGCCTCCTCTCAACCACCTGGAGAGGAGGGCGGACGATAAAGAACTCGCAGGAGTCTTCCTTCGGCTGTTAACTCTTCGGGGAGCTTCGCACACAGGACAAGTGGCAGCGAGGCTGCTCCTGAGGCCCAACGTTCTTCGAGAGCTCGCTGTGCAGATGACTGGGCCCAGGGTCAGAGGCAGCAAAGCCACTGCAGACCCGGTTGCCGTTGTCAACCTCAGGCCACTCGGCTCTGACACGCCTGCACTTTATCCCTTTAGAGAGGGATTAGCATGCCTGTCAGGCTGTTACAATGCATGGCCTCTCTGAAGAGCTAGGAATTTGGTTCTCAATCATTAGGGGCAGCAAGAAGTGTGCTTTCTGATGAAAATAAAAGTCGTGCTGAAAAGGCAATCGCTCACTAAGCAGATTCTCAACCCTGCTGCTGACAGAGAGGGTGTTAAATGAGGCAGAACCTACCACGGTATCAGAAATGTCACCAGCTATGACCATGACAGTGATAGTAACAGCAGAAATGGTCACAGCCGATGACTGGCCACTCCTCTGCTCAGGAACCTGCTGTGGCTCCCAGATACCCAGTCCCCTTTCTCAGCTGGGTATCTGGAGATCAAGAGGGACCACGTCTTCTCTGCCTCACCAGGTGGCCCGTGCCAACACCACCAATCCGGTCCTCCTGCAGCCAATCAGACGACAGGGCCTATGGGGCTCCAGCCACCTGCTCAGGCCTGGGAGGCCACAGCCTGTGTCCTCAGCCTCGTGGTTGATAATAACTGTAGCCACCACTCACTGAGGTTGATGTCCCAGGCACTCCCCACTTATCTGATTTAAGATTCACGGCCACCTCATTTTCCTAACGGAGAAAACCGAGGGCCTCTCCTGGATCACCTGGCTAGTGAAAGGCAGAGGTTAGGTCAGCGGTTCTCAACCTGTGGGTCACGACCCCTTCGGCGGTCGAAGAACCCTTTCACAGGGGTCTCCTAAGACCATCCTGCATATCAGATATTTACATGACGATTCATAACAGTAGCAACATTACAGTTATGAAGTAGCAATGAAAATAATTTTATGGTTGGGTCACAACATGAGGAACTGTATTTAAAGGGCCAGAAGGTTGAGAACCACTGGGTTAGATCCAAACTCAGGCCTGTAAAACCAAGCTGTCTGTGTTCTTAACCACCCGGCCACTTAATTGGAGAGTAAGATGGGACCCGACAGGAGGCTACACTCATTGTTGTCTTGACAATGCACCTTCCCCAACTCCTCCAGCCGGGTCCTCAGACTGCCACAGAGGCAGGCGGTCCTGGGAGTTACCCTCAGTTCTCTCGGCCCAGAAAGCAGTGAAAGCTCTGGAATAATTCAGCGCTGATGGACTCTGGAGAACACATGCAGGAATTGGGAATAGAAACAACAGCGTGCCGGCCCTTGGAGCCCAGAGGCAGGAGAAGGCCCCCACAGGGAGGCTGGCTGGCCTGGCGCAGGCAGAGGAGGAGGACGTGGGAAGGAGCAGGTTGGGGAGAAGCGGGGATGACGATGGGAGCCTGGGAAGTCTGATGAAGGGCCCGCGCCCCCCCTGCCTCTCCTGCCCCAGGACTCATAACAACGAGGACTCGGACTGGTACCTGGGTTCCTGGCTTCAGGGTCGGCACAAGGTCTTTGATCATTTTGGCTTCAGAGACTGTGACGCCACCCACCACGAAGAGGATCAGGAGAGGGTGGTCGCTGGGATGAGGCCGGCTCACCTGCAAAACAAACATCCTCTGTTAGCGATCGGAGGCGTGAGAGGCGTATGAACCCATGGACCAGTAAATGCACACGTCTCCTTATGACACCCCTCCAAATATTTTATTGAAAGAAAATTTCAAGGAGTGGGGGCTATTACATAAGAAGAGAAGACGGAGGGGCACTTATTCCTTCCTTATCGGTCTCCCGCTCTCAGCATAAACGCGCCCCTTCTTTGTTACACAGCTCTGTTTACTTCCTAGGAAGCACCTGCCACAGTCTGGGGTTCACCTGTTTGTGGCCGTCTCCTCTAGTAGAACATAAACTCACAGGACAGGGACCTTGCCTGCCATTCCCCGTTGAATTTCCAGCTTAGTGCAATTTCTGGTACACAGTAGGTGCTCAATAAATATCTATGGAATTGATGAGTAGTCACAGCCCTAAGTAGGTGTTGGTGAAAGATGTGAAAAGATGAAAGAGTCTGCCATCCACCCTTGAGGAGTTACTCTACACCAAGCACGTCAAACTCGCAGCCCGCGGGCTGCATGCCTCGTTTATTTGGCCTGTGTTAGCCTTTGAGTTTGACATGCTTGCTCTGCATGGACCACTCCACCAGGGGCTGCGGAGAATTCCTCCTGGTGCCTTCCAGTTTCACCCATGAGCCAAAGTGTTATTATAAACTAAAACACGAGTGACTCCCAGCAACCCCTCAGGAAATGCAAAATGCACAGCACATTGACTTAGTGACTAACTGGAGGGACAGCACGTTTGAGCCCCATCTGGAAGCCAGAGTTGGTGGGTTGAGGAGTGGCAGGAGGAGGGGAGGGGGTGTGAGCTGAGTTTCGGAGGCAAGCAGTCACCAGCTGGGTGGAGCAGGCCGGAGGCCCAGCCAGAACGCGGGGAGCAGGGCATCACGACAGGAAGGATGCTGCCGACTGCTCAGGTGGCCACTGAAGCCAGAGGGGGAGAAACAGGCTTCGGCTCCAGAGGTGGAGAGTGTATTCACTAATTCACACTTGCCAATGCATAAGCCCCACTGGGGCCATTGGACAGTCCCCAGGAGTAGTGGGGCAGGGCAGGCTGACAGGGAGCCCTTTCTCTTATCCCTGCTCCAGCTCCTTTCTCTGTTGGGTTCTTCTGGCTACCTTCCCTGAATATACCCACTTTTCAACATCTTATTTTAAAAACACAAAGAGAATATGCTAAGTGCTTTCCATTATATAAGCTACTCCTTGGCTTCTGGAGAGGAAATTCAGAATGGGACGGAAGGAAGCAAGGAAGGAAGGATGGAAGGAAGGAAGGAAGGAAGGAAGGAAGGAGAGCTGTATCTCTAAATGTTGATGTTTCTTGGGGTCCACCTTTGGCACCTTGCTCTTTTCACTTGATATGTCATCCCTGAAGGACTTCATCTACTCCTAAGCGCTTCAACAATCTTTTATGTATTTCCCAAATCTCTGTCTTTATCGCAAACATCTCTATTGAGTTCCTGGACGCCTCCAGGATCCCTCATCTCAACAGGTCTCACATGTGATGCACCGTCTC